ACTTCCCCATAACTTTGCTAGAAACAGAGAACCCTGCATCTGTGGGACAGGCCAGGCTGGAACACGGGGTGATTAAAGTGCTATGAACGTACTTACACACAAAGGCCACTGCGATGCTTTGAAAGTCACTTGCAAAGAAAAAACACTTGATAAAAAGATATTGCAGGGGAAAACCCCAGCTTCTTTCAGCCTCCTTCACATTTACTTGGCGCCCAGGTTCTCAGGCCATGGCAGACCCCGTGCTCATGCTGGTATTGAGAACAGCAGTATCTAAAGTAAATCCTTTAATATTAAATTGACAGAACCTCTCGCTGGGGACAGCTCCTCTTTCTTTGATGGCTCACCCACTGTTCCACCCTGTGTACTTTATATTAATACTGCCTTTTATGATTAATAATTTATGAAATCTGTTCCTATTTCACCCCATGGGTCTCCTTTCCTCTTCCCCATTCCCCTCGCCGGGTGGGGAGGAGCCTTGGGGTGACAGAACCCATTATTTCAGGCCCAAACACCGACCCCTTCCCATGACTTACCCCTGTGTGGCTGCACATCGGGGGGGAGCAGAGGTGGTGCCAGGGGAACGTGTCCTGTCCCAGTCCCTGCGGAGCCCCAGGGCCCCACACTCAGTAGTGATGTCCTCTGAACCCACCAGCACTGGGTCACGTCTGCAACCTCCTCCATCACCTGAAACCAACCCTTTTCCCCTCAAAACCCGAACATTAATCGAGAAAAAGGTTTACACTTCACAGGAGCACCATGGCAGAGTGTGCTTCATTTATTAAAACCGCCACGTCTTTCCCAAAGTATCCCGGTATGTAAAATATGCGTACAAAACACAACGTTTGAACAGATTATGTACATCCAGGGGCAGCTGCAAGGTCAAGCAATAACTTTAGCAACAGCTTTAAAAATAACACTGCGGTGTGTAGTAAAGCAGGTATTTCACGCTAGGAGGAATGAATTTCAGCGTTGGACTGCTATGGTAAGCTCTAAAACCTTACAGTACTTCCAGATAAAACATTAACACTTCTTTAAAAAACAGACAACTCAGAAACCGGATTGCAGATGGCAAAACACCACACATTTCTCCCTGGGGACTGAAACCCACAGCAGACTTAGACACAAATGCAACAGCTACATTCAAAATACATTCACCCCATTTACGCCAAAAATACATTCAGAGCCTTTGGTGACAACTTATTGCACGTTTCCTATTTTCTGTAGGAATACACCGTAGCTCTCCCTGCTCGTTTTCCTGTACATTCACAGACTGTGCTGCATGGGTAACACGGACACGGGTGTCTCTCCCTAAAAGCCCCATGCGGGTTGGGGGCACCAGAGCCCATGGGGGGGACCCTGCCCACCCCAAATGGATCGGCACTGCCCAGGCACCAGTGTGGTCCAGGGGCCACCACAGGGCTCTGAGCGCTGGCCAAGGGCGGCTCCACCAATGCAGGGAGGGATTTTTGAGCCATCCCCTGTACCAGGACGTGCCACGACATTGGGATGTGCTCGAGCACCCGCATCTGCAGACCACGACCACTGCAGACCACGCCAACGCAATGGAGCGATGGCCGACTCCCCTGTATGGGGTACGAGGGAGCCCGGGTGAGTGCAAATGAGTACAACACAGCAAAGTGCAAAGGAGCGTGGATTTCTCATGGGGCATCCGGGGGAAGCAGCTGAGGAAACAATCAAACAAACAAACAAACAGGTGCTAGACACAACGTTAATTAACTTTCCCTTTCAGTTCACTTTCCATGCATTAAGACTCAGGATGTCATTAAAAGTTAATTTAAAAAAAAATGAGTAATTCCCCCAAACTAGAAGCATCAATTAGGACAGGCTAAATGTGGTGACTGATCATCCTTGAGCTTGAAAACTCCTATCAGATTCAGAACTCATGCTTTGAATGAAGATCAGTAGGAACATCGGCAACCTTGCAGGACACATAAGCCTCCCCCAAACTGCAAAGCAGTGTCTCAATATAACCTCTGCTTTTAAATCCAAACAGGACAAATCTACGCCAAGGGCAAAGGCTATTAAATAGGTGTTTTGGTTTTGTTTTAAAAGGAGCATACTGTTTACAAACATTTTAAAGCTCAATACAACTTCAGCCGCTTGGCTCAGTTCTGCTGAACTCGAGTTTGCTAAAACGTAAATGTACCTCTCAACAACAGCAAAACAAGGGGAAAATAAAACCAGTGCAAACAACCCGAGCTAAGTGGAAAGCCAGGGCAAACAGAGCACAAAGTCTCACGCCATGAGACGGGTGCAGGAACAGATTTAAAGGATCCCTGGGGCTGGAGCCGAGACCCAAGAGGGGCAGCCAAACCAGAGCAGTGTCCAGCCATGAGAGCACCCCCTGCACAGCTCCCAGCCCCGCTCCTCAGGGTCATCCTCACCCTACAGGGCTGGGCAACAGCTTGAGAGACTCCGGGAGGGAACAACCGAAAAAACACAGCCGGAACTGAGAAACCAGAGCAGGCAGCACCGTCCGAGCAGGCAGCAAACCCGCTCTGAACGCCACTCAGCTCTACCCCAAAAAGCACATTTTGGTAATCTCACAGTGTGACTCTGGCCTGGTGCAGCAGCTCCTGCACAGACACCAAATGAGAGCCACAGCGGGAAAAGGATCCGCAGGAGCGGTTTTCACAGGCACAGACGCCTTCAAAGGATGATCTACATCAAAAGTGCATAGGAGTGAATTAAAAACGGAATAAAAATCCCTACAGAGCATCCTGGTCGCTCTGCCTGTGAAGTTCAAAGAATGCCAACATTTTAGGCATAAAAAATAATGTGTTTTAGAAGAGGTGGAAGAGAAGCTAATGGTGTCCCTTGGCCATCACGCATTTTGTATGGCGACTGGGCAAGTCTCCACAAGCCTTAATGCATCAAGAGCACTGCAGACATCGCACACTGTGCCATGAGACTTTTACTCCACCACCACTGATTTCAGACCCTGCATTCTGCAAATTCAGTGGGAATTTATTTCGATGGATAAAACATTTCCTCTTCTCTCTTAAAAAGATAATCTTCGATTGTTCTTTTTTAACATAAGGGCTTTTACAAGCTACGTTCTACAAGAACAAATTCTGGACCTTGCGTTTGCAAACCCTTTGGGGCCCACGTTTTGGGTCACGCAGCTGCCACAAGCGCCCTCACACAGCTCATAGCTGAGCAACCCGGGGGAGCTCATGCAGCTGAAGCACAAACCAATTAAATCTATGAGATTACTTTGATTACACCCCAAAAACCACACTGGGGAAAAAAAACAACCCTACTGCAATCCAGCAGTAATATTCCCCGCCATTCAACTCACAGACCATAAACCACAGCGTTATTTAACGCACGCACGCAGGAATGACTGGGAGTTCTGCAAACAAACGGGTGATTGCGTTAGAGCCGGTTTTGGGGCAATTAACGGCCAGAAAGGGCCCCAGGGAGTGTGTGTGTGCAGATAAGACAGGGGGTATCGACACCACTGACCGTCGCACTCAGTAAAGGTTTAACCATTCTCCATGCAAGAGCCCCAATTCACTGAGTTTAAACACCAGAATGAGCTGGCAGCACAGAGCTGTGTGGGCTGCACCCGATTTTTGCAAAGCTTTGCTATTCTGGGAACACCTCTGGGCTCAATTTCCAGGGACCACCTGGATATAGAGACACTAAAGAACAGTATTATTATGAAACGTATTATTTTGGCTATTAAAATACTGTATTTAAATGCGTGGACCACACAGCGGGACAGAATTCACAAAACACGAGAACATCAGTGAATTCTGAAAAAAACACCTCACTTTTTATAGCTTGAGTGTTATGGAAACACGACTGGAGATGGGAATGCCTCTCACCAGCCTGGTGCTGTCACAGACATCCATGAGGCCTCCAAGTGGGCCATATGGGCTCGTGCAAGGACATCAGTGCTTAAAAAACTTACATTTCCACAGGTCCTGGTGGCCCAGCCCGGAGCACAGGTACATCTGAAACGTCCATTTTTGGTGAAAAAGCTGAAAGCTTGGGTGGCAGAAAGCAGCTCCACCACCCGCCATGGGCCCCAGAATGGCTCTGATGTGCCCCAAGGCAGTCCCCACACCCCCTGACAGCACTGCCAACGAGAAACCAACTTTCCTGACAAGTTTCCACTCTTTTCCAGCAATTAATTTCATTAAAGCTTCCCCCTAAAGCATCAAAAAGGCACTAAAATAAATTACTAGTGGCAGATTGGCAAGATATGGTTTAAAAATATATACTTTCTCAGTTCAGGTAGAATTTCTCTTATCCCGTACCTACATACCCATTGGAAAAGTATTGCCTCTTAATTTTCCTACTAACTGTTCAAAAGAAAATACGTCCCTTGATCAATATGCTCAATGAATAAGTGAACAGAGGAAAATAACTCCAAATCCTAACTATAATACTGTAATACTGAAATCAAGACTATAAAAATAAAATATCCTAGAAAACCGACTGGGTGTTTTTGTTCACAACATACACACTTCCTGGATTTTCCATCTCTTTTGCTTTACTTAGGTAATGATAAATATACTCTTTTAAAACGTATCTTACTGACAGCCTCTTCGCAGGTTGCTGCATACAAACATGTAAGAGGCTTGACTGAATTTGGTCTTTCACTTGTTTGAGGATAAAACATGTGGCTTCTCTCGCAAACAGGCTTTGACCAACACCAGCTCTTGCCAGCACATCTGGGGGCTGACTGGGACGAAAAGCACAATAGCTGAAGGTATTTTCACGCTGTCGTGGTGTTTTAAGCTCCTTTGGGCAATCAGCCGCATGTCCGAGTGACTCCAGGAACCCACAGCCATTGCCTGTACAAAACACAACCGCAAGTCAATGCTGCCCCAACCTTGGAGCTCAAAGCCAGCATCCCGGTCCGGGCACTTGGATGCTGAACCACGTTACATGAGGTAGACCAAAACCAAAAAAACATCACAGGTTGAGGGATGGACAGCAGCATTCAGGGGTTCCCCGCTCCTCCGTCAGCCCTTGGGGTCCTCCTGGGCGCAGAGCTGCGACAGCGTCTTCTTGACGCGCAGGGCGGTGAGCCGCGCCGCGCCGCTGCCGTGCCAGCACTCGCGCATCACCCGGCCCATCACGCGCAGCGCCTGCGGCCGAAACAGACCCATGGGTCACCACCAACCCCGCTTCAGGGGTTTGCAGTGCAACAGCGGCTCTGAAGCCGTAATACAACAGCAACTTCATTAATCAAGACCAATACTCGCACAGAGTTCAACTTTGGGTGCAAGGGCAGTTTTCTCTGGGAGCTCAAACAGCACTACACATCTGAAATGCATTTAAACTCAGCAGAGTTCCCTTCGTCCCACTGAAAAATTCTTAATTTAAATATTCTTTACAATAAACCCGGAAACTGCTTTTACCTCACAGGTTTGCCACTGGTTGGGAATATTTGGTCTGAGCTTCTGCTCGCAGACGACCCTTCTCATGTCTTCTATCGAAGGATCCGAAGGCACAACGTCGTAGTAAGGCAACTGGTACTCCTCCGTGATTCCTACGAGAGATTTGTGGAGCAGGTAACACAAAACCTGAAGTAGCTGCTCCAGAAAAACCTCTGATTCTTTGTTTTCACAGGAAATGAGAGGACAGAGGAGCATTTGGGGCCACCTCCAACAACCGCCACCTCCAACAACCCTATGACCACATACTGCCAAGTATAGTAATAATTATAATGACAGTGCAGGGCAGGGACATAAATAATTGCTTTTTTATTTAAGATAAAAGTGGTCATCGTGCAATGGCAAGGCCAGACAGCTCACCTCCGACGGAGCACCTCCGGGCTATCTCCCAGTACACCAGCCCCAGGGAGTACATGTCTGCGCGCTTGAAGGACTCGAAGATGTTCATGTTCATCGTGTCGTCAAGTATCTCTGGAGCCATGTACCTTTAAAGTACACAAAGAGGTGTCACCAACAGAGGAAAGTGCCAAAAGCTGACAGAAACCAGCCCCATGGGGCATGCCAAGCCGGTGGCCCCCTCACCCACCTCCTGGTGCCCACCCTGGGGTTCTGGGGAATGTCGATGGTGTTGAGCACTGAGTCGTGCTTCACCGCCAGGCCCAGGTCCGCGATGGCGCAGCTCTCGTTCCTCTTCACCAGGATGTTTTTAGACTTCAGGTCGCGGTGCGCGATTGCTGGCTTGCCTGCTCACAGGAGAAGAGAGCGCAGTCAGTTTTGGTAACAACAGTGGGGATTTTAACACGGCGAGCAAGGAAGCAAAACCAGGTTTCATAGAATCATAGGATGCATTGGGCTGGAAGGTTAAAGATCATGTACAGAATCATAAAAGTTGGAAAAGCCCTCCAAGATCACTAAGTCCAACATCAACCCAACCCCACCATGGCCACTGAAACGTGTCCCCAAGTGCCACATCCACACGGTTTTGGACCCCTCCAGGGATGGGGACCCCACCACTTCACTGGACACCCTGTAATCACCCATTTCCACCCTCCATGGACACCTCCACCAGCCCAGGCTGCTCCAAGCCCCATCCAACCTGGCCTTGGGCACTGCCAAGGAGGAGGATTTATTCAACTTCATTACCATACCCCATTAAAACCCCTCCAAATTCCTTTAGAAACTCCTTCATTAGCACAGCTGCTCCCACAGACATCCACTTTAAAAGGTGCAGACAGGTAAAGCGGGCAGGCAATATTCTTGTTCTGTTCATGCTGTACCACCAACACTGTTCCTGGTGGTACAACAGTGTGCAAAATGTTTTGCCATACCACGTCCCCCACAAACTATTTCACAAATACCCCTGAAGCTCCTTAAAATACTGGACAGGGAAACGGGGAGGGAGCAGGGCTCCTTCACTAGCACAACACAACCTTGCGTGCCGACGATCTCCATGTGGAGGTGCGCCAGGCCGCTGGCCACCGACAGCGCCAGCCGCACCATGGCCTGCGCCGTCACCGTGCCGCGGTTCAGGTGGTCGAACAGCGACCCTTGCTCATGGTACTCGGAGACCAGCCAGAGCTGCGTCCATGTCCCATTATCTGCCCAAGGAAGCAACGTTAGTCAGTTTTATTTAAAAATCAGCCAGGAAAAGCCCCATTTGTGCTGGTTTGGGCACGCAAAGGAAGGAGTTTGCCGGCCACCTCTGTGGGAAGGAGCTCCGGAGAAACCAGAGAAGCCCCAAGATTTCCCACCCAGCTCGCAGCGTACCCTTGTTATCGGCTGCGATAAAGCCCAAGATGTTATCGGCTGCGATAAAGCCCAGGATGTTCTCGTGCCGCAGCATCACCGTCTGGTAAATCTCCGCCTCGCGGAACCAGGAGCGCTCGTCCCTGGAGGAGAAGATCTTCACGGCCACGTCTTCCCCGCACCACTTCCCGCGCCAGACTTCGCCAAATCGGCCTTTCCCCACGATCTCCTGCAGGACGATCGTCCTCGCGATCGTCCTCTGCACGAGCAGGGGTAGGCCTGGATTGAAAAGGAGAGGGGGGTTTTTGTGACATGGTTCAGTGGTGATCTCTACATCCCAAAGACAGAGATTTTCCGGTGAGCTGCACTCACAACTTTGCTGCCAAAGAGCACCGAGGAAACGCCTCTCCCAACCAAAATCTCCCAAAATCACACTTTTAAGTGTTAATAGCCAGATGAGCGTACATCACGTCTGTCACTTCTTTCTCCAAACTCTACCTCCCTAATCCCAAATTAAATAAAAAAATATTAAAAATTAAAAAGCGGGCCTGAACTACTTGGTCTGGTTTGATACAGACTGGAGTTTGTTTTGCAGCCAGTTAATTGATCCATTATGGCTGAAATTTCCAATGAGAAAAATAAATTACCACAGCAGTTTCATGTTATTTTGCTAGCCATAATGCCCTGCTTTGTTTGATTTGATATTAAATTTTACTTATTATATCTGTTAAAAACCATTAGGGAAGTACGATAAATTACTCCTGAATAGTATGTAGCTCATGCAAAATAAAGCTGAATCAAGCACCGTTTATGAATTTTTCAATTATAAATAAAATTAAGCACGATTTACATATTTTTCAGGCAAATCAAAATTCTCTTTGCAGGAAGCTGAGCCACACGCGCCAGATGTGCCACCAGCCCCATGAGCTGCAATTCCTGAATTCCCACCTCATTTTTGCCTTTCTTTGATGTAAGAAGCTGTCAGCAGCAAGGGAGGCATCACAGCAGAAAGATATTAGAAATGGGTAAATTAAATATTAAAAAGGTTGTCATTCTGCTCAGAACAAGGCTTTGGAGTAATGTTATTTTTACACTGCTATAAAATTTACAGTGTGTTGTGCTGGCTCCCACATTTAAATTCAGCACCTTTAGCATCCGCCAGGAGCATCCATTACACACCCGGGATCTGCTTCACAATTTACTTTTTGTAACTCTTCCATTCAAACAAAGCCCTGAACGTTTGCAATTTGACAGAAAAAGAGCACAACAAGCCCTGTTGCCGCTGTGTGGCCATGCCCACCGGTCACCACAAAGCCTCCCAGAACATGAAACGTGCCAAAACGTACCCGAGCCGGAGCCAGAGGTGGTCATGTCGTAGATGAGATCCTTCAACGTCTTCCCGGAGCCCACCAGGGCGCACTCGGACAGCGGCTCCTCCACATTGGGCTGCTTGGCGCGGCCGTGGGCCCAGCGCCGGCCATGGCACACACAGGCCGCCAGCACCGCCGCCTGTGGCACCCCCGGCCCCCCAGCACCGCCGCCAGGGACAGGAGGCAGAGCGGCACCGCCACCGTCACTGCCAGCGCCGCGGGGCCCACCATGGTTCTGCCGGGAGGCTCCGACGCTTTGGGAAGACACAAGGTAAGGGAAGAAGGTGTTAAGAGAAGGGCTGCAGAGCCACGACATGTTGAGACCTTATCACTCTCTATAACCGCCTGAAGGGAGGGTGTAGGCAGGGGGTTTGGGCTTTTCTCACAGGTGACAAGATGAGAGGGCACAGCCTGAAGCTGCGCCAAGGGAGGTTTAGGCTGGAGATTCACAGAATATCACAGAATATCAGGAGTTGGAAGGGCCCTGGAAAGCTCCCCCAGTGCAACCCCTGCCACAGCAGGAGCACCAGAGCAGTCACACAGGAACACGGCCAGGGCTTTGGGTGTCTGCACACAAGGAGACTCCACAACCTCTCTGGGCAGCCTGGGCCATGCTCCAGAACCCTCACACTCACAAACTTTGGCCTCATCTTCAGCTTGAACCTCCTGTGCTCCAGCTTGGGACCATTGCCCCTTGTCCTGGCATTGGCCATCCCAGAGCAGAGCCTGGCTCCTTCCTCCTGACACTGCCCTTTCCCAATGGATCCCCAGGAATGAGGGCACCCCTCAGGCTCCTCTGCTCCAAGCTCAAGAGCCCCAGCTCCCTCAGCCGCTCCTCACAAGGGAGAAGCACTTAGAAAGCACTTTTTGATGGAGAGGGTGATCAGGTGTTGGAATGGACTGCCCAGTGAGGTGGTGGAGTCACCATCCATGGAGGTGTGTAAGGAAAGGCTGGATGTGGCACTTGGTGCCATGGTCTGGCCGATGTGGTGGTGCTACGTCATGGGCTGGACTCTACGAGCTCAGAGGTCTTTTCCTGCCTCAATAATTCTGTGAGATCCAACCATTTCCCACCACTGTCCTGACCAGAACAGACCATCTTTCTGTAAATTAGGGCAGCTTCCACACCACCGCCATGCCTGTCCCCGGCCCTCAGCTCCTCAGACACCGCACCTCCCCACGGCTGTACCTCCACTGACCCATCGTTAACCCTGCACACCCTCCCACAGCACAACACACCCTGGCCCTCAGCTTCTCCAGCAAGTCCCACTCCTTGGTACTGCTCACCCAAAGGACATCTCCTTGCTACTGCAGACCCCAAAACGCAGCAGGGACTACAGAGCACGCAGTATTAATTTGTTTGCCTTGTCAAAATGCCACCCATCTGCAGGCACTGGATCCCATCTCCCACAGCAGGAGACCAAGGGACAGGGCCAGCCAGGGACGCCTGACTGGCTCCATGACCAGCCACCGCAGTGCCCGTCCCACGCCTCAAGGTTTGTGTACAAACCCCTCAGCACCGTCCCTGCCAAAAACAAACCCTTGGTAAAAAACCACTTCCTAACACTCCGCACATACGGGAATACAGAGCTCCAGGCATTAAAAGGACCTCCAGGACAGAGCACTTTTGAACCTATGCTCATGAAGCTGCACCTCACACAGGCCAAGGAACGGGACTGTTCTGGAGCATATTTTCCATTTTTAAACTGCAGGGGTGAAAAACACACCAAGAAGCTATAGGAATACGTCATCAAGGTATTTACATGCACACACACACACAAATCCCTTAATGCATCCAGAACTGTAAATAACCTAAAAAAAATAACCCAAAAACCCAACGCAAACCAAGCCAATCAACTACCACTCATCCTAAAAATAAAACAGAAAGTTGACCCCAAAAAAACTGAATCCCAAGCACCAGATGGCGGCTCTAAAGGCTACAGAAGATTTAAGAGCTATGAATGTCCCACCACACAAAGTCATCTCTTTGCTGCCCCAGAAGACAAAAAGCCCCCTCTCCCTCTAGGACCATGCTATAAGCAATGGGTACATCAAAATCCGAATTTCAGGAGTAAAAGGGACTGACTGTTACTTTCCTCAGTCACTACAAGAGCAGCCCCTCTCCAGAGCACGGTGCCCAGCCACGCACCCCCCACTCAGCAGTGCAGCAGCACAGTCAGCTGTGCAATGTGAAATGTGCCTTCTTCTTCCCTTCTGCACACTCTAACGCCGTGCACTTTGAGTAATGAGAAAAGGAAATCAACAGACTGTTACAAACAGTTCACACCGCCCTTAAAATTAAAGTTATTACATCTTGTCCACAGGTTTTTCTCTTCACAGTCCTCAATGGGATGCTGCAGGGGCTGCCTGGTGGTTTTACAGGGGGATTTGCCACCAGGATCCCACCTCACAGCCACTGCTCGTTAACTGACCCACTATGACACCCCACACTGTTTTAACGATGGTTGCAGATGGCAGAGGTTCTCTGGGGCAGGTACAGTGCAGCAGGAACACGTCCCCTGCCACCTGAGCTTGGTGCAGAGCTGCTCCGGCCACATCGCCACACTCACAGCCAGCACAACACCCCGGGGCAAGGAGTCATCCCATGGGTGTCTGACACCCTGGTGCATCACCCAAACCAGCGCCCTGTCCCGCAGAGCCACACGGCTCCATCCTCTGCTGGCTGCTGCTGTGAGACCACCGCACAACACCACCACTGTCAGCTCTTGCTAATGGCCTTAGGGCTGGGTTGGACTCCATGATCTTAAAGGTCTAACCAACCAAAACCATTCAATTTCCACCAGCTGCTGAAAAACAAGGTGACATGAAATGAACGAAACGTAAATATTTATTGTTATTAGGCGGTGCAAACAGTATCGAAGGGTAAACATTCAGGAAGCTCTGCACAGCAACAGCCCAGCACCAAGCAGACCCTGTCACAGCAGCCACATCAGCCCTGCTGCAAAGCCATGGGTGGTGCTGTGCAAGATGAGGAGAGCAGGCACGGTCCTGGCAGGACATCCCCTGCTGCTTGTGCTTCCCCTCACCATGCACCCACATCATCTTCTGCCCGAGCTGCTTCACTTCGTTGTCCCCATGTCCGCTGCCAGGTCCCTGCAGTCACACACTCACCACTGTCCCCTTACCCCTCCTTCCTTCTCCTCCCTCTTCCCACAGCTCCCTCCATTGCACAGCACCAGTTTTCCCAATAGACAATTCCTTAACAACCTCCCATTTTCCTCTTTTTTTCACGTTCAAGCCTGTTTCCTTGCAGTCTGGATATCTGGCAAATCTGTGCAGGCAAAAAAGAGTAATAGTTAATGGTGGCTTTCTCTTTTTCTTAAAATTACAGACATACTTCTGTAGATACGTAAATCTCTCCAGGATCTCCTGCAACCAGGGAGCAGCTCTGGAGACGCTTCCAACAGGAGAAAAGCCAAGCTTGCTAAGGGCACAACGCATTCAATTGCTTCACTCTCCCAAACCGCTGCCCGTGGCACCGCTGCGGGAACAGCTCGTCCCATGCTCAGAGGGCATGGGTGGTAGCGACAGCCAACGGTGCAATGGGGTGGCGACAACAGCACGAAGCACCCAGGAGAGTGGGGAAATCAGCACTTCCACCAGTGCTCTTTTCACTGCAGGACGTGCTCCCGGCTCACACCCAAGAGAACGCACCCATTTTTGAAGGGTTTTTAGTATGAAAGCCACAGTTCTGTCCCGGCTGCGTCTGCACTACCTCATCACTCATCCCGCAAACCCAGGTTCGGTTCACAGATTTGCCAGCAGAATTAAGTGAGACAACAGCGCAGTTTAGGCTCCTGGGACATGTTGATTTGTAATGTGCAGTGCGCTGTTTGCACATTGCAAACGACTGAAACGCGTTTTATAGCAGAATCTTAAGAGGCTCATAAAAAGCAGTACACATATTAAAAAAAAAGCAACAAAACCATTTTTATCAGAAAAAATGGCTTGAATTTTAACAGAAAAGACACATTTTTACTGAAAACACGTATGAGCACAGTTTGTATCATTACACCGCAGCATAGGCTTTGTGAGAGGACTGCATCAGAACTTAATTTGGGGGGCATTTTGGGAGCCAGGCGAGCAGTGGGGCAGGCAGCAGCGAGTGGCAGGGACCCAGAGCACAGCAAACCCTGGCTGAGGCAGGAGGGGACACAGACAGGGCCATGCTGGGCCGCAGAGCACAGCAGAACTCAGAGACCCTCACACACACGCAGCGCCGGGAGCACAGGCAGAAGCCAGCTGTACAACCTGCGTAGCGGCTGTTGTGCACAACACAACCAGGGATGCTTACAGGGCTGGGGATGCTGTCAGTTGAGGGAGCTGCAGGACAAGTCAGCAGGGAGACAACTGAGGTGTCCAGCTTTGCACAGGGTCTGCACAGAGTTGCTGGGCAAGGAGGAGATCTTGACTGGAGAAGGTGCTTGGATGGAGTCACCCGGAAACCTCCTTTGTCACCCTGCACTCCACCGGCTGCACCGAGGTGTGGAACAAGGCTGGCGGCACCACTTGAAGCCTCCACGGGGTACATGGGAGAGTCGGGGTGTACGGCGTCGTGGTGTCTGTGGTGCGGGCGGGTGTAGAACATTGAGTGGGTGTAGGGCATCGGTTCCGGAGTAGGACATCAGGCAGGTGAAGGGCATCAGTTCTGGTGTAGGGCATTGGGTGGGTGTAGGGCATTGGTTCTGGTGTAGGACATCAGGTGGGTGTAGGACATCAGTTCTGGTGTAGGGCAGCAGGTGGGGGTAGGACACCCTCAGCCTTGAGCCCTTGCCACAGCGTGTCCCACGGCCAACACCGCACATGCCATGGCCCCGTTGACCACGTGCAGGGGACAAACAGCACCATGCACCGGGACAAACAGCACAATGTACCAGGACAAACAGCAATTAATGGCCACATCACCAAATGAGTGTGGAAACATTTACAGCAGCTGCGCAACACTGAACCCCTGGGAAATCAGAAGAGCCCCCGTGACTGCCTGAACCATCAAGTCAACACCATTAATCACAACGTTTTGCAACCCGGTTTCAGCGTGCTGCTAGTCAATGGCTTACTCACTAAGAACAGAGGGTGAGGACATGCTGCCGTGTACGGGACAAAAATAGCAGAGTTTCACAACGTGGTGCAGTTCTAATTCCAAGTTGTGTAAACAAGAGAGTACTTTTAGGCAGGGAAAAAAAGGAATGATTGTTTTTTTCCCCTCCAATGGAAAAAGACATTGTCACACACG